TATTAATATAATTAATTATGATTTATAAAACATTATAAACTCTAAGGAGATACTATATAATGTTTTAGTGCAAATTCATGGTATTCATGTAAAGAACATACATAGGTTTATTAATTTGTTTCTTACTGCAATAGCAAATGATGGAGGCTACAATGAAATGACATTTTTTGTTTGTTATTTTACCTCACACTTCTTGAGTTACTAGGTCCATGGTCTCGTCTGTTGGTGGCTTCATTGCTACCAGAATACATACACAATGACAAAAAAATGGATGCAGATGTGTAATTTAGATAAATTGTCTAGTATCATCTGGACTCCTTATACTTAACCTTTCAGCTTCCCTCCCTCACTACAGCTACTTTACTTGCATTGCCTCTTTCTTCTTTATCACATAGTAAACCAACAGGGAGCTTATCCTAAGATCTGAAAGACTGGAAAAAAAAACATAGTTGAATCTGAAATGGTGATGGATCACCTACTTCCAGAGTCAAATTCTTAGAAAGATCAACAACAAATCAACTTAACAATAACATATGTCGTGCCACCTATAAACATGGAATTGGATTAAGTTAAGTTCTTCTTAGTTCCTCAAAACAGCAATCATGGTGTCAATGCATATACCCATATAGGACACATAAAGATCTAAAACACAACAGAAAAGGTTTAACCATCAGAGAGCAGTTGCGAGATAGAATCTAAAAAGCAAAGGAACTGGATGGTTGAGCTAGACTATAGTATGGAAATTGCAGCAATTCAAACTGCTGGCTGTTCTCTGATGCTCCAGTAGTGTACAGCTTACTGAAAGAGACTGCACCACTTGTTCTGTTACCAGATGAATAAAGAAGAGGAGAGATAAACACTTAACTGACACAGGACCAGACAATTGCAAATGGTCCACAGCAAGACTCCTTTATTAGTTTTCAATGCAGTCTTTATCCTTATACTGCACCAGAACATGTGAAGAACAGACCTTTGAGAATGATACAAGCTATTTTCTCCCACAGTCTACATGAACAGTACAGAATGAAAGCACACTTCCTTTGAAAAGCAAATAGAATGGTAAAGATGATTATGAATTTGCCCTGATCCTATGTTGATCATGAAATGAAATATTACAAAGACCAGAAAATTTGAAAAAGGATTCTTCTAGTAAATGAAGAGCTAATATCCACAATTTCTACAAGTTTATCATACTTACATAGTAATTGAGACTGCTAGCTAGATGATGACATTTTTGACATTTATATGAGTTAAACCAAACAAAGTTCCCGGAATGATACTTAAACATTCTATTTTTATTTTTTTTTTCATGGCTGGATACAAATTCAACAATTTAATTCAAATCACAATTTGAAATAATAATATAATTAACTATGGTTTAAAAAACTATAAACTCTGAGGAAGTATTATATGCTTAGTATTCATGAAAAGAGAAAGGGTTTCTGAAAACAGCGTTTTCAGAATCAATGGAATCTCAATGAAATTGGCAAAGCAGGGTAAAGAAAAAAAGAAAGAAATACTTTAAAGGAGGTGCTCTTACAAACCAAACGGTTCTATAGGGCCAGCAGCAGGCAAACACACAAACACACACGTTCACAGACACACACAAGCTCATGCATATGCTTTCATAACATATCAGAAAATAAATTGAAATAGAACATATGCAAATGTTAGAACAATGGGTGTAAGATATGCAGAAAAGTGATAAAAAAATTCGTGAGTTGTAGGTAGTTACAGGTAGTTTTTTACATAGTTTAGAATTATAACTCTGTAACAATTTTAAATTTGTAGTTTTAAAACTTTAATAGTCAAGGAAAATATGGTACCTGGAGATATATCTGCAGTGCTTATATTGGGTGATGGTTCCAGTGTATAATATTAATAATATTATAATTTTTAAGCAGTAAGTTTAAAATGGCCTGATGAAAAGTCAAACAACAAACAAAAACCTAATAAGGAAATAGATCATCAGAATCACAGAGAATTTCAAATGAAATCCACATTAAATTAACCATAAGCTATCAACGCACATTCATTTAAGTCATTAAGTTAAAAAACACTGACAATGAATAAAGAAAAGAACACCATTGAAATCCTTCTAGAGGTTAATGAGAATGCAAGAAGCACCATTTCCACAAACTGTCAGCTTTACCATTTCATCAATTTGGTAATTAAAAATAAAATATAGTGAAAATCAGACAAATAGACTGGCTAAAATATTCAATGCGGTTTCATTCCCCAAACACAAACCAGAAAATTATCTAATTATACTTCTGGATATAAAATACTAGGTATAATATATATGTGCATAACACTATTTAATAAGAGATATAAAAATGTTGGTATATTTAAATTGTATGCACATAGAAAATTATGAAACCTTAAAGAGCAAAATATAAAACAGCATAATGAAACTTTAATTTCTTATATGAAATTCAAAACAAAGTATAATGCTATATTTGTCTAGACCATAAAGTCCTAAAAAAATATCTGCAAGAATTTGGGCATGTTTTGACGTGGTGATAATATTATTGTATATTAATTTTTACTGTTTTTTCAATTTTCATTCTATGAATGTGATGAGATATGTCCTTTGTATTCTTTCTGATCCCAACACAACGGCAGCATTCTCCTCGTGCTCCCAAAGGAGAATTCACACTAGTAAATAGGTAGATATATAGATGGTATTGTTTTTAGAAGCTAAGTAAGCAAAGACAAAAAGCAAGGAGACCCTGTTGAGTAGAAGGCAGGCAAAAAGAAAACATCTGAGGAAACTGCTTTTACTTATTGCTTAGAAGAGAAATGACAGAAAACAGAATGCAAAGAAAATACAACCCTCTGCTTTCATAATGAAGCTTCGTTATTAATATAATACATTATAAATTATTTGATAATTGAACTTTTTACATTAAGCAAATATTAATTTCTTTTTGTTTGTTCATAATGAGAATAAGCACTTAGTAATATTCATGATGCTAATAAATAGTAAGTATAATACATCATTGATAAGAATCTGAAGGGAGAAATTATATATACAAATTGTACAGCACATTATAATCATCTAAAAATCTTTTAATAGCTACTGTATTGCTATATTTTTCAAGAACCTTAGGGGAAAGCAATTAATTCCATAATTTTTTTCCACACCAAATTTAATGTTCAGAAAGATGAAAGTTCTCTGTCTGGCATTCAATGGAGTTAATCTTTACATGATAGATTGTATCTCTTACACAAATTTAGAGTATTTTTCACACAAATTATAACCATCATATGCATCTTTTCAGTTTATGCTAATTTTATAAAAAATTGGTGGTATTATATAATTTTAATGCATGTATATAATGCATTTCTATCACATTTAGGCCTTTACTAGACATGTGTACCCTTTCTCCTTACATAACATTCTATGTTTTCTAAAGATCATTTACATATCTGTACATCAAAAAGGGAGATGGATACTTTAAGATATTTGGTACTGAATTAAATCAGTATATCTTAGTTCTTTCTCCAAACATTTTGCAGAAAATTTGAAAATTAGCAAAAGAAGTTGCATTTTCCTTGCCATTATATTTTATGTTGTGTTTCTGACATTTCTAACAGCTTATATCTCATCAATTATTAAGTCATTCCTGGTTATTTGTGTTAAACTAAAATCCAGACTGTATTTAAGTATTCTTAGTCACCCAACCCTGCTATCCCCACCATTGCAGATCCATTTTCTGCCTCAGATTTCTACCTAGGACACTAGTACATTTATTTTCATTTCTTTTTGAGACAAAAACTTGTCTATGGAAATTAATTGTACAACCTTTTTTATTAATGACTTGACAACTTTAAGGGATATCTCCATTTCTTGAGTGTACTTTATGTATCAAACACTAATCACATTAGAGAACACTGAAAAATAACAATATTAGGATCACACGATTTATAGTCCAAACTTATCTTCTAACACAATGTGTTTATTTTGAGGCCAAATATTCCCAATAGGATCATTTTTCAGGTCAATTATTCCCAATAGGATTTGTTGGTGATTGGTGACTTTTTTTGATAGCTTGTATACGCTACATGAAGCAAGCCTTAAAAAAAATTCAGTCAATTTCATGATGGACAGCTTCGAGACCATAACTCTATTTTTGACCATATTTTTATGTTTCAGTTTTGTAACAATTTTGCTAATTTTATATGTGTATGTAATTCATCTATCTACCCTTGTCCCACACTCTTTTAGTCACAACTTTCATATTCCAATTTTCTGTGGGATAAAAGTTTCTATCTTCTGAGGCAGCTCATTATTAAATTACAAGATATTCTAACAAGAGCCAAATATGCCGTTCAACAGAAAATCCAGTTTTCTACATGAAATAATCTCATAAAATCTTCATTCAGAGAGTTGTGAATTTTGGGGGTAAGGGGGGATGGGGAGAGAAAAGTGCGAAGGGGAGGATGGGGGGAACTTGGGGAAACAGGATGAGTGGGATAAAGGAAGGTTGGACAGGGGAGCACGGAAGCACAATTCTTAGTTAAGGGAGCCACCCTAGGGTTGGCAAGAGTCTTGAACCTAGAGTGGCTCCCAGGAGCCCAAGGCAATGTCCCCAGTTAGTTCCTTGGGCAGATGAGGACAGGGAACCTGAAATGACCCTATCCTATAGCAATACTGACGAATATCTTGCATATCACCATAGAACCTTCATCTGGTGATGGATGGAGATAGAGACAGAGACCCACACTGGAGCACTGGACTGAGCTCCCAAGGTCCCAATGAGGAGCGGAAGGAGGGAGAACATGAGCAAGGATGTCAGGACCACGAGGGGTGCATCCACCCACAGAGACAGTGGGGCTGATCTATTGGGAGCTCACCAAGGCCAGCTGGACTGTGACTGAAAAAGCATGGGATAAAACCAGACTCTCTGATCATGGCGAACAATGAGGGCTGATGAGAAGCCAAGGACAATGGCACGGGGTTTTGATCCTACTTCATGTTCCGGCTTGGTGGGAGCCTAGCCAATTTGGATGTTCACCTTCCTAGACATGGACGGAGGGCGGAGGACCTCGGACTTTCCACAGGGCAGGGAACAATGTCTGCTATTTGGACTGGAGAAGGAGAGGGAGAGGAGTGGGGGGAAAGTTTTAAAATACTTTTCTCAAAAAAAAAAAAAAAAAAAAAACCTGAGAAAATATACTGACCAAGGTGACTCTGGCCTGTTAAAGGTAATCTTTAAAGAAGATAGCAAAAGGAGTGGTGCTTTCTTAAGGGAAAGAGACAGTGCAAATCAGAAATATGAGTGTGGAGAGAAGAATACTGAGTATATAATGTTCAGAGTAAGAGAGGCATGTGAGAACAGGGTAGGGGGAAAAGTGTTGGGCTATGAAGAGGTTAATCAAAAATTGGAGACATGAAAAATCACACGGCAGCCTACTTTCCTGGTAGTCTAAAACACAAGAATGTTTGAATGTTGTACTTCTCAAGTCTATACAATATATGTTTTAAAACTAATCGTTTATGGAACAAAATTGACACTGACATCTGGGGATATCTTCTGAGGAGCTGTAGTCAAATGGAGACCCCAGAAGCTGCCAAATCTATACTGAATGCTGATAATCCTGTTATTTGACCACAAGAACTAGTTATACACTCTCTAGTACTGAAGATATCAGATATTCTGATGTGGGATCATCCTCTAAATGCTATAAGCTGCTTTGGTCTGTGGCAGGATAGGATATAACTAAGTAGGAAAACTAAAATGAATGCAGAGGGAAATAAGGCAGAGTTAGGCAGATGCAGAAATATTATCAAAGGAGAAAGATGCAGAATATTATCAGTAAGCCACAGCCTTGTGGTAATACCTAGATTAATAGAAATGGGTTAATATAAGATGTAAGAACCACCCAGGAATATACCTGAGCCATTTGGTTAAACAGTGTTGTAATTAATAGAGTTTACTTGTAACTTTTTTTTTTTTTTTTGGCTCTCAGTGGCTGGGAAAAAAGTAGAGTTTCTAGTTACAATATTCAGAAATAAAAATAGAGCCAAACTTTAGACTTTCTCCAGGTCTTTTCTTTTTTCAGAATGCCAGATGATGCTATGCAGGCTTCTAGAGGAGTAAAATATCAATGCTCTGACCTAATTACCAACTTTGTAAACTACATTGCTCCTTTAAGTATAAATTAACATTTGATTCAATAAAGAAGCAACAGTTATGACAATAGCCAAGCCTGATTATATGTGATAACCACTCAACAAAAGGGAATATATAATACTTAAAAAAAAGATGAAAGCTTAAAACTTATGTTGCCTTGGGTGTTAAGTGGGACTTTACTATTCCTGCCTAGCTAAACTGACATATCATCAAAAAAATCTAAATATTTATACTCACAGTTATGGACAAAACCTATTATTAGTTTAAAGTAGAGAAGTATTTCATTATACTGCAGAATATTCAGTAAAGAGAGTCATACCAACTATTATGATAGAACAAGCCATTTAAAGCTTAAGTCACATACATGGTATTTATACATGGAATTTAAAACTCAGGGAACATTATGTAAGGGGAGGGTGAGAATGTTAGAGCTGCAGTTTTAACCAACAGTCAGCTATGGATTGTGGAGGGCCAGTCAGGACACTACCTTCACAACTGAACTACTGGCATACAACTGGTTCTGGAAAAGTGGAAAGTATATAATACAGTAGCATGCAAATTTGTAAGAATCACCTTCTAATGGATCATTCCGATCTCATGGTAATATAGGGTAGATAAATAAAGCTTCACATGACACTAAAAATCAATATAAATATGGGAAACACATTTATAAGGAAGAAGATATTTGCAAATATGGAGTTATTTTCTGGTACTATTTCTGAGGACATGAGTACAAATATCTACTCACCCCAGATAGGAAACTGATAAAATAAATATATTTATCAAATTCTAATTTGGACGAACAAATGTGGATTAAAAATTTCCTTCGGGGCAGACAGGACTCAAAGACAGCCATATTAAAAAAGCATCGTCAAGGATGAGAGAAGAGTCATGATATCTGGAAGGCTGAAACTCACTGCCAGTTTGTAGGCCGCTTGACAGTTTGAAGACTATTTCTTTCAGTAGCCCAGTTGGTCTCTACATCTTTCAGGCAAATCAACTGCTCTAAAGGAGTCTGGAAGCAATTCTATTTGCAGGAACTTTAAGGTGGATGAGGTTATTGACACCTAATCAGTTTTATGGATTTTTCCTGAATAATATTTTTATATTTAAGTCAAAACAATGGTATATCTGATATCCAGCTGTTAGTGAATAGTCTTAATCAACGGAAATTATTTCTTTAAAAAAAAAAAAACAATCTACTCACTCATGTTATGCCGTGGGAGCACATTCTGCTCCTTCAGCCAACAGGCTTTAATATACCAACCCACTCTTTTGCTTTAAAAACCTGCAGTAGCCACGTTGTACTCTCTCTCTCTCTCTTGCTTCCGGCTGCTAGACTCTGTTCCTGGTTGTGCAAAGGGCTGTTGTCTAGGAGAGTGATCTCTTAAGTTTTCCTCTTAAATAAATAACCCTTTTATTAATCATAATTCCAAACTGGTGTGGAATTGTTTTTTGACTTACACCTTCATCATTATTTGTATAAGTATCTAACTTATATTTTAAGATGTTACCCACTACATATTTTCATTATATAGTACATTTAAAATGTATTGTTGCTTATGTATAATGTTTATACAAATAAACATATAAAAAAGATGCTTATGCTTTAAACTTCTCAGTAAATGTAGCATAGCAATATAGCAAAGTTTAAGGGAACAATAACAATTAAGAACTAAGGAAAACTTTAAAAAGCCAGGAATGGCACAATCCCCTCACCAAAGTAAGTGAAAGTGAGTGCTGGTGAATGATATTTTTTTCTGAAATGAATGAATTTAAAAAGACAGAATTCCTCTGAGATTTAAGATGATTTTTTTATCCACTACTAAAATCAAGGAATTTATGGGATGGTGTATTATACTAATTTGATAAAATCTATGAAATGGCATATTATAATCTCATAATAATACAAGAAAAATAAGTGTTGGATTATGGTAAGTCAAAAAATGAAATTAAAAATATTAGAAAAGAACAACCAACCCAACAACAAAATTCCAGGCAAATGATCTAGTTTCTTAGAACAATATTTACCTAACTTAAAAAATACAAAATATGAGATATGAAATGTTTTATTCATTGTGGGCCATAAGTCTTTTTTGACTATTTAATATCTCTGGTAAATGACAAAAGCAGTAATAAACAATATATGCATGAGAAATGTATAGCTATGTTCTTAAAAACTATATATAAGGAAAAACTGAAAGTATTTTTGAGTCATGACAGAGTTCCAACAGTGTATAGTTATTAATTGTTAGATATCCACAGCTATGTTTCTGGAGATTTCAATTATTCATTTAACAAATATTAATCCAATCCTTAATATTTAAACATTATTTTAATAATAAATAACTATACACACTTGCTTTTTTCATAGACTTGTGCATCTTTGTATAATTGTTGAAGAGCTATCATTTTTAATCATCTTTTGTTTCCTGAAGAAGGTTTAAGTAACTTAGAGATTTATCTATTATTTGCACCATGAATTCACAAAACATTATGAATGTTTTCAGATAAATTTGTACATTAGAAACATCAAAATATTTCAGGGCTTGAAACTTTTTAGCTTTAAATACATGTTCAATTATTTATTCTAAATTTAACTAGATGGTTGGTTGGTTGTATAAGAGCCTCTCTTCACCCCCTCTCTTTCTCTGTCTCTCTCCCATTCCCACTTTCTCTCTTTCTATCTCTCTGAATGTCTCTACCTGTCTCTCTCTGTGTGCCTTCCTGTCTATACCCCACCTACCATGTGTGTCTGGATATACAATATATGTGACCTATGTGGAGGTGCCCATGTCCATGCAGCCATGCTAGCATGAGTTTACCAATGTATGTGAATGCCTGGAGTGTCCATCGCTTACACTTTGGCACAGATTCTCTGACTGCATTCAGAGTCATTCAACGCCACATTTCTCTACCACTGCCATAGTTAGATTCCAACTGCGCTCTTCATGCTTCTTCATGCTTTTACAGCATTTATTTACACGCATTAAGCCATCTCCAACCCCTAGACAAGATATTTATTTTTTAAAAAACTAATATTTTACAGAATAATATCATAGTACAAGAAAGAATAACTGAGCAAATATCAATTTTCATATATTCTTTTTAATGTTTACAATAAGATTTTTAATTACATGCCCAACTGACTTAATTTTCCTTTATCACTTTTGTTCCTTTAATTTAAGAATTAGAGTGTTCCAACTGATTTTTGATTGTCTTTAAAGTATAATAAATTGCATCATTTTCCATTTTTTTCTTCCTATAAATCCTTCCACTTACCCCTCTCTTACTGCAAATGATATTCATAATTATATATTGTGATATTTCTAAATATTTCAATACAACTTTCACAGTCTGTATAATGTCACTTCATGGCTTACAATTTGTTATTGTGTAATCAGTTAGAAGATTTTCCATAAGGAGAAAATTTCTCAATATTTCTTAAAAGCCTGCAGTTCTTTGCCTAAGGCTCTATTCAAAAATTCCTGGGAGATGAGTTCAGTATTCTCCATAGAGAGTTGAGCATGTATTTTGATCTCTGATGCAATCACTTTTAACAACGTATTCTTTAGATATGGATGTATAAACAATTTGTACCCATATTAGTCTATT